GATCCGTATCAAGCAAAATGGGCCGGGTACGGGTTATTTCTAGTAAGGCCCATTGTAACCAAAGCTGGGCCTACCCAATTTTCACCAGAAAAAACAACCTTTGCGTCAGATCTAAGATAATCACCACCGTCGTCTTCACACACTTCTCAACCGAAAAACAACTCATTACTCCAATAGCCCAAAACAAAAACAAGAGAAATTATATATATTTTATTTGTATGTATACATATTCAGAGTAGCAAAAATTAATTAATTTTTATTGGAATCCCATACAGATTTCAATACAGAACTCGAAAGGTAACCGAAATCGTTGATTTCATGTATTTGATTTTTTTTTTTGTTTTCAAATTAGGTTATTCTGATTGTTTTTTATCTGAATTTTGTTGGATTTTTTTGTTTGCAGTTCGATTGTTGAAAGGTAATGGTGTTAGAAAAGCATTAATACAACTGCAGCCGTATCCGATCGGATCGGATGGACAAGAACAAGAGCCGAACCGATCTGCTTGCTGCCGGTCGTAAAAAGGTAACCCATTTCCGTTGCACTTCTTCCTTTTGCACAGTTGTAATGTGTTGCTAAGCTGTGAAAAAAAAAACACTAGGTGGTTTCTTCCCTATCTGACAGTATCTGGTTGAATAGTTTGAGGGTCGTGCAAAAATTGGTTGCTAAGCTGTGTAATTGCAGTTGTGAAATATAAGGAATTAGGAAAATTGGAGTAGTATAGGAAGTTCTAATCTCAAATAGTTGAGGAGGATTGAGTTAGACTAGAAATAGTTTAATGATGATGAATCTTTGTTATACTGAATTCCGAGACCTGCCCGTGTTGTATAGAGCTAAATGAAGATTCATATAGCTAATCCTGACTGGTTTTGCATTGAGGGTGCAGTTGATATACTAAGAAATTATGGAGAAGTAAATGGTTATAGTATTTCTTCTAGTGTTACTCTTTGCTTGCTATTTAGTAGCTTCTTTTAACCCAGAGTTTTTAGCATGTGCACTACTAGCTATCGCACATATGTTTGTGGATGAGTTTTTAATTGTTTAATGTTTCGCATTTAAATTAGGAAAGAGATTACTC